TGAGCTTTATTTATATGGAATTCACAAGGACACTTCGGGCTTTAGTCAGGGAAGAGGGGAGGAAGAGTAAGGAGTTGGTCAATACTTTAAGACACTGTGGATAGTGCAGATTTTCTGCGGACTGTAAATTTACACTCTTGAATATGTTACAAAACAGTGGCGTCTGTCTGGTCATCTCTGTAAATTGGATCAGCATTGTATTTGCCCCCGATGTGGCCGATAGGGGAAGTTCGTTGGAATATCACTATGTCGAAGTCTCAGCTTGAAATGTGTCAGCCTCCAGTTTATTATAATAATAGTGATCCTTACATTCAGTGGAGCGCCTTTCACGGCAGACGACGTCTCAAAAGAACTTTACAGGATTTACCGGACTGTGTGTCTTGTACCCAAACGTGGAAGCCAATTTGTGCCCAGCAACAAACAGCCGTGAAGTGATGACCAATTTAATTCTGGTGATTGATTGTTGACCAGTGCATTGGAGAAACTCCCTTTTTTTTTGACCAGTGGCTCAAGATCTATACCTGAACAGGCAGTTTAATTGTTTCATCGGAAGTACGGCATCTTCAATAAGGTAGCCCATCTCCTCCCCCACCACCCCACCAGCAATGCAAGGAGTGTCAGCCTAGACGATTACAAGTTCAATGTTGGCTTGGCTTAAACCCACAACCTCCGGCTCAGGCAAGAGTGCTGCCAACCTAGCCAGGCTGACGCACAGTTTAGCTTTTGCACAGTGAGCCTGCAGAGATACAATTGGAAAGCAGCATTCGCTTTGCTACATGTTCATTATTATTTTAATGCCTGCATTGTTCAGATGACGATTTGCTTAGGTCAGCAGTAGGTTATTGGGCGCTCTTAACAAATGCATAAAATAAAGTTTAGAGGAGGAACGGTAGCATTGTCTCATTTGATCTAATTTGGGCATAAAACATCACTCTGGAGACTCAGATTGGTTCTACTTGAGTTAACTGGTTAACCGGTAACCTTAAAATTCCTGTCACAATTTTCACTGACGTCAAATGAGCTGACAGAGAAAGGGCTGAGTGCTCTGTTGTGTTGATGGTGGTTGCTGTGCTTTTGCCCTCTAACAGTGTAATTAATGGTGCATTCTTCTCAAACAAAGCTTGCTTTTTTGCTGTCCTATATTTTTTCGCGTCTGAAGATTATTACAGGCACCACGTAGTAAACGGTCTACCTGTTTATCCTCCTGGGCGGAATGGGGGGGGTGGCGGGGGAGAAGTAAGTAGCGTCTTCTTGGAATTGAGCTGGATCCAAGTCCTTGGTCACGGAATTTCAGAATCTAGCCACCATTCCATGGTGGTCTCGGTAGTCTACGATAACAACAACAACAACAAAATTACACTTGTAAAGCGCCTTTCACATCAGGAGGATGTCCCATGGCGCTGAACAGTCGGGGATCAGGACCCGAGCATGGGGGGCGGGGGGGAGGTTGGTGCAGGGTTGGACGGTTGAAGGCATGGTCAAAAAGGAGGGTCTTGAGTCGTGCCTTGAAGGAGGCAAGAGAGGGAGCAAAGTGAAGGGATTATTGGATGGAGTTCCAAAGGGTGGATGCAGAGAAGCTGAAAGCTCGAACGCCAATGGTAGGATGGGTCGGGCTGGAGACATGGAACAAGCCGGATCCTGTTGAGCGGAGGGAGCGGACAGGTTCACGGTGGGTTAGCACGTCAGAGATGTAGGAGGCGGCAAGACTTCTCTGAAACTGAGGACGAGGATGTTGCACTCTATCCTCTGAGGGATGGGGAGCTAGTGGAGCCGGGCGAGGGTGGGGGTGATGGGGTCCCAGAGCCTGGTGCAGGTGAGGACACACGCTGCAGAGTTCTAGATGATCTGCAGTTTGTGGAGGGAAGAGTTGGGGAGGCGACAAGGAGGAAGATTCCGTAGTCAAGGCTTGAGGGCGCCGAATGCGTGTACGAGTGTTTTGGCAGCCTGAAGGGTGAGGCAGTGGCAGAGTCGGGCAATGTTGCAGAGGTGGGGGAATGTAGAGCGGCTCATGGCACGGATATGGTGGAGAAAGGACAGTTTAAGGGTCTAACCCCAGGTTCCTGACTGGCTTGGTGAGGTGGAGGGTGCAACCAAGGATGTAGTTTAGTTCCTGAGCCAGGTGGGTCCATGGTATTCCAGGGCACTGCTGATGACAGCACAGCCAGCCTGGCTCGATGGGCAGGACTTGGAAGCGCAGACAGGTCACTGAGGGCAGGGAGTCATCCCACTCCACTCAGCTCCTGTTAACCTTGCAAGCCAGAGCCCGAATGGATAGGATGGTCCTAGCTGGACAAGCAACAGGAAGGTTGCCAGACATTGTTTTCTAAGGTAAACTATCATAGTTTTACAGTTAGATTTCAGTTGTACCCCAACGCACACCAAGCCTTGGCTGTTGCCAACCTGCGTCTAATACTCTGGAATTAGCTAAGCAGGATGCTTCCCTCTGGGAGAAGTGTGCACATTCCATTCAAAACATGGGAATTTCCATGTATTGGTGGGGTATATGGAATTCAGTTTGGTTTGGAATATCTTAAGCACAGTGATTGGTTTCTGCTCGTGTTAGAAACCTGACTGAACAAAAACAGATGTAGGTACCTTTCACGCCGGGCAGGCATTTCAAAGCGCTTCACAGGCTTTACTATAAAGTGGAGAAACTGCCCGTCTTGAGGGTGAATGTAGAACCTGACTCAAACGAGACTGCTACCAGTTGCCAGGCTGACACGCAGTTTAACTTTGCATAGTGAGCCTGCGGAGACGCAAAATAAAAGCAGCATTCACTTTGCCACTTGTTCATCTTAATGCCTACATTGTTCAGATGACAGGTCACATTGAGATGTGCTTTTGCTTCTCCCAATGCGCTGTTATTGGAGCTATTTGCCTCCCTATTGGGGCCGCATCCCGAAACACAAATTGTAATTGGATTTTTAATTCATTCGCTGTGAGGGGAAGATGCTGGCTGATGTCTCTTGCAGAAGGTCCAAAGCTGAATTAAAACCTTAAAAGGCCTCTAAGAGAAGAGACTGTCTCCCTCCCGCCTAGCTAACAATTTTTGCCCCTAGCCCTCATTTGGTCATTCACTCCATGGCTGTTCATGGCATATATTTGCATACAAAGTGGCTGCCGCTTGTTTGCCTACAAACACCCAATCACTTCACATTCAGTCAAATCCTCTGAAGTGCTTTCAGACGTCCTTGCAACGTGAAAGGAGTGCCATAAAATGTCAGGATTAATATTATTAATAAGGACCCATCCCTTTTCACATCCTTTATGGCTTCTTTTTACTTTTGGAAAAGATCCATACTATACTGATCTATAATGAGCATACTCAGATAAAGGTTGAGTGTGGGTTTAGTCTGACTGGGCCAGAGATGGTCTTACTGCAGACAACAACTTGAATTTATATAGCGCCTATCACATAGGGTACCACCCCCAGAGTGCTTGAGACGCGCTGACAGTGCAGTTTTACAGATGAATCGTGGTGGGTTCTGTTTTTCTGTGTCAGAAAGCATTCGAGTGTCTGACGTGCAGAAACCGTTCACGGTGCTTAAGAGTATCCAAACCAGACTGAGTTCCACACATATACACCACCTGCACATGGAAATTTCCCTGTGTCTGGATTGGAAAGCTCTTCTCCCCTGGAGGGATGCACCCTGTTTATCTAATCCTGGAGAGTACTGGGGTACAGAAAAGCCAAGGCTCAGGGGAATCCCAGAAAGTGCGTTGGAGTAACTGCTGGGACTCATCCAGCTACAACCGCATAGCTTGCCATTGAGAGTACTGTTTGTCCATTGCTTGTCCAACTAGTACCCCCTACCTGTTAGGGCTTTGGCTTGCAGGGTTAGCAGGAGCTGAGTGGGAAGAATCTCTGCTCCCACTGTCTGGTTTGCCCTTCAAGTCCTGCTGCTGAGCCGGCTGACTGTGCTGTCATCAGCAGTGCCCTGGACCTGCCTGGCTCAGGATCTGGACTGTCCGAGACCGTCACAGAGGGCTGGCCAACACGTGCAACACCTTATTAGCCCCCTTATTGAGCCGAAGCTTTTATGCAACAATTTCTACACGAGCAATTTCGTTCCAGTTGCGGGGTTTTTGTGCAGACCCTTCACAACCCAATCTGGCCACGTGTTCCAATTGTCTCGGAGCAGCTCAGGCCGGTTCAGGTTCCGTGTTCACTTTTAGTGCGACTTTGCAAACTCGGCTTTCCAGTAAGCTCCTGGGTCTTGATGTTCTCTTAACTTTAATGCTTGGCTCCTAATCCTTTACAGTTTTTAATAACTGGTTGGGCAATCACATCCACAAATCGTGCGTAATCTGTGCAGTGCCCGAAGGACAGCCGCAAAACTATAGGCTGCCTTATGTGAGTCAGCCCATTAGTGCCTTTATCAGATGGCTAGTTAACGCGGGCTGAGTTTTCTTATCTCCTGAGCCACATACAGTATCCGAAACCAATTACACTGACACAACAGAAACTGTTTGTAGTTGTCTTCTAAGATTATACAGCTCGCTTTTCATATTGAACTATCCCTTTTTTTCTATCTCTATCCTATGATATCATGAATTTTTTTATTAAAAAAAATCTTTAACAAAACACATCTATCATATGAAATGCTAAAAATTCACCAGGCATCTATCACTGTATATAAGCGGGCGGTGCGACGGTAATGATAATCATTGCATTTGATTATAATGCCTTCCACGTCGAGAGGAAGTCGAGAAGCGATTTGCAGGACACACTGTAAAGTGGGGTGGCTGTGTGTTTTTTTTTTTTGCCGAGTCACGGCATATTCTGTGAAGCGCTTTGAGACGCCTCAATGATGAGATAAGGCGCTATGTCAAATGCAAGGATTATTATTAAAGGTGCCTGGGCTGATTTCATAACCAGGAACTTGTATTTTGAAGTCTATTGTTTCTAACAGTGTTGGCGTGAAAGGTTGCATTGCCAGCCACCTGTTTCCGCCTGTGCAGATGGTGTCAATAAGTGCCGTGCTATTTCGTTTTTTCAGTGGGATTTAACGACTGCTCCGGAGGTGCGACCGTACAGTATGAAACGAACGACCCGAATATCGGGGTACACCCTGACGGCTCGGTATATGCGGCGCAAAGCGTCCACGTGTCGGGGAAGCAGGCGAAGTTTGTGATCACCGCACGACGACCACAGACTCGGGAACAATGGCAAGCTGCCGTGAAGCTAACTGTGAGGCAGGAGCGAGACGCCCAGCATCCTGTTCAGAAGGTAATAGCAACGCACTGACAATGATATCGATAGTCTTGATGTATAATTCTGATATACAATAATTCTCGCACATGATGGTAGTGCCTTATCACATCGTTGAGCTGTCTCTTTTCGACAGCGCCATTGGTCAACTTCCTCCCCCTCCCCCTGGCCCGGTCCCGGGATCCGTTACTGTAAAGCGCTCTGAGACGCAAAGTGCTTCACAGGACACACTGTAAACATGGTGAAACGCGGCAGCCCATTTTCACACACAATGTTCCACAAGCAGCTATAAAGTGAATGAACGATTTTATCGGGGGGTGGATTATCATCCAGGACACTGTGAGAAACTAACTTCTATCGAGCGCTACGGGATGTTTTAACGTCCATCTAAACAGGCAGACGGGACCAGACCTCGGTTTGTGAATGACCCCAGAGTGCGTGTTGGATTGGGTCGGGTCAGTGTCAAAACTGAGGTTGACTCTGTCCAAAATCCAGCCTGTCACAGCATTAAGAGTTCAGAATTGGCTTGAAGATGATGAACCTATTTCACTGTTGCTTTTGTTATTGCCGAGAGTCCCAGTGTGTACGCTAGTATATCACCCAGCTGCTCTGCATAAAGTCAAATAAATTATAGCACAGCAGTTCCCTAAAGCTGTAGCAACAGTAGGTTACTTCCACAAAGCTGGAAGCGCATAATATTTAAATTCCTCAATTGTGTGTTGGAGCCTCTCGGCTGGACTATTCTAACGCCCTCCTCGCCGGTCTCCCATCCACGACCATCCATAGAATCCAGATCATTCAACACTCTGCCGCCCGCATTCTCACCCACCCCAAACTCCGCTCCCCGATTACCCCAGTCCTTGGCTGCCTGTCCCAGAGAGGATCAACTTCAAGATCCTCACCCTTGTATTCAAATCCCTCCACTCCTCTGCACCCCCCCTACCTCTCTGACCTCCTTTCTCCTCAAAACAGTACCATTGCCTTTGTTCCTCCGGGTCTGGCCTCCTCCTCGTCCCCCAAGACTTCCGCTCCACCCTTGGCGGCCGTGCCTTCAGCCACTATGCCCCGAGGCTCTGGAATTCCCTTCCTCACTCCCTTCGCCTCGCTCCCTCTCTTCCTATTTTCAGGTCTCTGCTGAAAACCTTTCTCTTCGACCGCGCCTTTGGTCACTTTCCTCCCCCTCCCCCTGGCTCGGCGCCGGGATCCGTTACTGTAAAGCGCTCTGAGATGCCGTCTGGCGTGGAGGGCGCTATATAAATCCAAGTTGTTGTTGTTGGAGCCGAGTTGCCACTGTTTTTTTTAATATAGATGGATTCCAGTTTTAGAGTGTTTCAGTTATACTGACCCTGTCCTATTTAGTGGCACTTTTGCTGATTATGCTCCCTCCATAATCAGTAAATGTTATGTTATGTTTCTGGAAGGGAACCATAAAATTATTGCTTATGTGGCCCGCGGAAGTTTCTCAAATAGGGCATCCGGCCCTCAGCAGCCAAAAGGTTGGACCACCCTGGTCTAGGCTGACGTTTCACTCTACCGCAAGAAATTCTGTGGAGCGTGTACTTCAAAAAACGATCACGGCAGCTAGTTTGCATCAAGGTGTTTGTCAGCCTGGCTCAATCGGTAGCACTTGAGCCAGAAGGTCGTGGGTTCAAGCCCCACGTCGGGAATTTGACCTTATGTAGTCTAGGCTGACGCTCCAATAATGTGCCGTCGTTACTGATGAGAAGTTAAACTGAGGTCCCGTCTGCCTGTTCAGGTGGATGTTGAATATCCTATAGCCCTGCTTGAAAAGAGGTGGATCAAGACCCCACAACGGGACTTTGAGAGAGTTTCACCTTAGCAATAATCCCCCAAATTAAAAAAAATTGGTCATTCACCTCATGGATGTTTGTGGGACATTGCTGTGCGCAAATTGACTGCTGCCTTGCCTACAAGATTCACAGTCGCTACACTTCACAAACGGTGAGGTTCTCCCAAAGTGAAAGGGGCCTGCATCGAACTATAACTTTATTTATTTTATAGTTGCTGGGAAGTGGGCAGCGCAAAAAAAAAGCTGCCATCCTTCTCAGTTTATTTTTATAACTTTAAAAGAATTTTAAAGTTCAGCATAGAGTAATTATATTTTATATTGTGTGTGTGTGTGTGTGGACTCGCTGCAGTCAGCTAATTGTATCAGTGTATTGTTTGATCCTTATCCTTGGAATCGTTTTCTAATTACCAGCGACAACCCATCATATCTAACCCACTGCATTGTTTCATTGACTGTGATGTATTCTTTTCAGTCTTATTAGGTTTTCTGTTCTGCCATTCTCTCCGTCCCCTGACAGGCAACTGTTTAATTGCTGTTGAACGTTAAAATTAGCTTGCGATTGCTGAACGGTAATAACCACCCCCCCCCCAATATGCGCTGCTTGGCTGCAAACTGCAATGCACTGGCGAGATTGGTTGCAAATGCTTTCTCTCAAGCCTTATCGTGTGTTGAGAAGTCTCAAAGCGCTTCGCAGAATATATTTAAAATTGGATTGACTGTGTATTTTGTGGACGAAACACAGCAGCCAATTGGTTGCACCAACCGAAATACAGAGCATCAGTTACCCTCACTGCTTCCTGGCTCCTGTACAATGTAATTACAAGTCTGCGCTGCCAGGTTTAATAAGCCCATAAATGTCGGGATTCATTCCTTTTTTGTAAGCCATTCGTATTTATCATTAACTTATTTTGTAATTGAAAAAAGCCCACATCCTGTCCACCCCCTGAATTATGTACTCGTTTGCCAGATTATTTTTTTGAAGGGAGATTATCAATTATAGTGGAGCGAGCCCAGGAGTTCTCTTGGGTGGTTTGTGTGTGTGGTTTGTCTGTGTGCGTGTGGGAGTGTATGGGTGGGGTGTGAGTACGGGTGTGTGGGTGGGTGTATGTGTTGGGGGGGTGCGGGGGTTGTGTGTGTGGTGGGGATGGGAGGGGTGGACATTCACTTACGAAACAAAATGAACGCAGCCTTGCAAGAGGCACTTTGAGGTATTCTGAAGAGCGATACACATAAATGGAACTGGACGTATCAGTGTACAGTAATTACCAGCCGTACAACTGGTGGGATCACAATGCAGAAGCACTGACTGCCAATCAGACCCCCATTACTATCCGGATAGGGATTTTATGGCCCCACCTTTCTTCTTTCTCCTCAGCTCCCCTGCCCCCCCCATTCTGAGTCTGGAATCTAGAGCTCCCTCTGTCTCGCCTCCACCCTCCCCGCTTTAAAGCTCACCTCAAACCTTACCTCTTGGACTATGATTTTGCCCATCTTTCCCACACCTCCTCCTCCCACCACTCACTGCCTTGTAATGCAGTTCTACCGAATTAAACACAGCAATGGGTTTGGAATGTGCAATTCCCTGCCACAAACATTTAGTGAAATCGCTTTTCAAAGGGGAATTAGACGGACGATAAGGAGCGCCTCATGGGAATTGCAGTGCCTTTGAATTTGTATTTGTGCATTTGGATGCTTCAAGGAGGAGGAACATTGAACATAGGCCATTCAGCCCCTCAAGCTTATTGTCTTCAATTACCCACCTTTGCCCCATAGCCCTTGATACCCTGTCCTAACAAATATCTATCCACCTCAGTCTTGAACATTTGAATGGATCCAGCAACCACAGCCTTTTGGGGCAGAGAGTTCCAGATTTCCACTACCCTAAAAAAAAAGCTTCCTGATTTCACTCCTAAATGGCCTAGCTCTAATTTTAAGATGATGCCACCTTGTTCTGGATTCCCCCACTAGAGACAATCATTTCTCTGTAGCTACCCTATCGAATCCCTTTATCATTTTAAACACCTCAATCAGATCAGGCCATGAAAGGGGTTTCTGGAGAGCGACATTAAATTAGGCTTGGCCCAAGTGGAGGAAAAAGGCCTTGATGAGGGCTTGAAAAAAAGGGCTTGACTTGATGAGCCAAGTGGGCAGTTTCTGTATTAAACAATTATTCCATCTGGCCACCGATGAGCATTGGGTGTACGTTTGGTTGTGAAAGAAAACCAATGTTGTTGACTGTATTTTTTATCATCTCCCATTTTTTTTTCCTGCAGAGCTGGAAGAGTAGCGATGGTGGTGGAGCTTTGTTTCAGCAAGTGCCCGACATTGTGTTTCCAATGGCCCCGCCTGAGTCGCAGAATCAGCTCAAGAGGCAGAAGAGAGACTGGGTCATCCCTCCAATTAACGTGCCCGAAAATTTCAGAGGTCCCTTCCCGCAGGAGTTAGTCAGGGTAAGGAATTTCACGAGAGCTAGGGTGGTAGTAAGAGTGATTGGGTGGGTGGGGAGTTGAGGGGAGTGGTGTGAAATGAGTGGAAGAGTGTGAGAAACAACAACAAATTACATTTGTAAAGCGCATTTCATGCTGAGTGGTGGAGCGGATAGGCTGATATGGGGTTAGCGGGTCACAGAGATAGGAAGGAGCAAGGCCTTGAAGGCGAGGACGAGGATATTGAACTCTGTCCTCTGGGGGATGAGGAGCCAGGGGAGCCGGGTGATGTATATTATATAAGCTGTTGTATACTTGTGTGCCAATCGGGCTTTACCTGCGTAAAAATATTATACGTAGGTTTACTTTACACTGATTTCCGTGTGGCTTCTGAAGAGAATTCGGCTGCCTTTTGTTCAGTGAGATCGACACTTGCGTAAAGGTTCACACGCCTTAGGTGGCGTTGGCGGAATATTTAAACCGAGTGTATGTTCATGAATTTGGGCAGCAAAATTTGCCTAGCGCATGGGGATTGGTGAACGGGCTATAATCTTGTGATAACTGAATGGCAGTAACTTGATTGTTTGTTGACATTCTTTTCAAAAACTGCGGAAAGAGTTTGTGTCATCAAAGCAGTTAGAGTGGCGGGGGGGGTCTGACAAATAGAAAATAACTAATGTATTTGTAGTCTTCAATGCTTAATTTGGCTCCTCATAAAATTGGCAAAGACCAATCTGAGGTTGGATTTAATGACCTGTGTTAGAACTTCAAAACTCACCATCAGATTCATGGATGTAACGTGAGGATCAGCATTATGACATTGCACAATACAACATAGATTGTATTTATACAATGCCTTTTGCATTGAGAGGGCACTTGACGCTACTGGCTGAGCACACGAGCTTGGGGTTAAGAGCTGAAAGGGAATGAGGAGGGGAGGGGAAAGGTAACCGAAAGCTCAATCAAAGAGGTAGGTCTGGAGAATAGGGTGAGGTGCTACAAAGCATTGTGCTTCAGGACAATAGTAGAAATAGCACAACGAACACCAGTGTTTTCCTTTCTTCTTCTATCTCTGTCGATTTTTTTTCTCTCTCGCTCCCCCGACGATATATAAATCAATGTCTTCTTCCTGTATCACTAGATCCGATCAGATCGCGATAAAAACCGCTCGTTACGCTACAGTGTTACTGGACCAGGAGCCGACCAGCCACCAACTGGGATTTTTAACATCAGTCCCGTCTCCGGCCAGCTGGCCGTCCTTAAACCTTTGGATCGGGAAGAAATTGCTTCTTATCATGTAAGTGGATGTTTTCCTCTCAACAACTCCCATTTCTTTCTTTAAAAAAATGATTAAATGATCCTTGCATATGATTTGACTCCTTTCACGTCAAGAGGACGTCTCAGAAAGCTTCGCAGGATAAACTCAATTGGAGTTACTCTCTGTCTTTGGGTGAAATGTACATACCAATATCTATTTTGCTCACAAGCAAAAATCCCCGGGTTTACATTGAAAATATCCTCAGTAAAACGCGCCTAAGTCTGATCTGTATAAATCACCTTAAGTTGTACATTTGTCCAAGTCCCGTTGTAGAGTTTATATTCTGTGCATGTTTGGCATAACTCGTACTTTGCATAAATCATATTAAATGTATGGTCCGAACTGTTACGACTTATGTGACGTTTACTGTAATTGGCTTATTGATATGCAAAAGCTTTATTGCAAAGTTTTTAGAAGTTCTGAAGCTAAAAAAATTGAAGAGGCAGGAACTGCAGTGTGAGCCCCCGCACTTAATAAAGATTAAAATCTGTGGGACGTGCTTCCATGGCTTGTTCATGAATTTCTTGCAGTTAGGGTAGTCTTTAATGGGCTAGAAAGTTTATGCAGCTGATATTTATCGTAATTTAGCACAGCGACCTATCGTGGTCTCAAAGAGCTTCACGGGATTTTACTGCGGAGTGCAGTGACCGTGCGTTCTGTAGGTCAAACGTGGCAGCAAACAATTTGCGCACAGCGAGGTCCCAAAACAGCCGTGAAGTGAATGACCAAAGGTTAATGATAACACTTACATTTGATACAGCACCTTTCATGTCGGGAGGATGGCCCAAAGTGCTTCACTGGATTGACTGTAACGTGATGTGACTGTGTGTTTTGCGGATGAAAATATCGCTCTTGGTGACTGCACTTGGTTTTAAAGGCTGTGCTAATCATATAGTTTTTGTCTGGCAGCTGAGGGCCCATGCTGTGGACCTGAATGGAAATCAAGTGGAGAATCCCATCGACATCGTCATAAACGTCATCGATATGAATGATAACCGGCCTGAGTTTTTGCATCCAATTTGGAATGGGTCTGTTCCTGAAGGGTCGAAGCCAGGTAAAACGGCAACTCATTTAAGAGTTCCCAATTGTGTCCGTAAACAGTGATTGATTGTGCACTTGATGATTCAGATTATAAAGTCCTGTGATGTATTGGTTAGAGCACTCGCCTCGCAAGCGAGAGGACCCGGGTTCGATTCCCGAGCAGGGTGAAATGTTGGGCAAATTTCCTTACTCCACACGCCTTCTACCTAGGTAAAAACCTGGTTGTTAGTCGATTGGCGAATTGCTTTTCCAGGGGTTAGTAAGCCCATACATTTTTTTAAAAAAATAATAATTTGGTCACTCAACCCACGACTGTTTGTGAGACACTGCTGTGCGCAACTGGCTGTCGCGTTTCACCCACAAATTATACAGTCAATTCACTTTACAGTATATTCTGTGAAGCGCTTTGAGACGTCTCTAAGACGTGATAATGCAAAGATTATTATTATTTATTATTCATAAGTTGCTGGCACACTCCCCCTTCGTTCAAAGGGGATTCTCTCCCTAGGCAAAACATTACATTGCATTATTAGCGCATTCGCAAATGGAGTCCCATGAAACCTTCTGCTTTTGTTTTAGGAAATCCAGTTTGTAGCCTCCACAGTGAGACAGACCTAATCTTAAGTGCTAGCTTGTCTCCTTTCTGCTTGGCTTGACATCACTGTAAATTTGACTTTATGCTACAATTAGTTGCTGTGTTCTCCTGAGCAATGTGACTTCCACATTCTACTTTTTTGCCCCGGGTTTCCTGGTCTTTAAGTCTTGGCATCAGATCAACTGTTTGTGCCAGAAATTGGTCCTTTAGTGGAATCATCAAGGTTTATAGCACAAAAGGAGGCTGCACCAGCTCTGGAAACAAGGTGTTCATTCAATTGCGCTGCCCTGCCCTATCCCCATACCCATAGCCTCTATCCTTCATATACCTGTCTACTTCTCTGTTGAAACTGACAGTGGACTCTGCCTCTATCACCTTACTTAGCAGGGCATTCTACACAGCAATTTGCTTTTATATACAGCAACAACAACAAGATTACATTTGTATAGCGCCTTTCACGTCAGGTCCCAAGGCGCTGGACCATGTGCAGCGTTTCAGACCCAAGCTGGGGTCGGGGGGGAGAAGGGAGGGGAGGGTGTGTGTGTGCATATATATATAGCGTTCTTCACTCAGGGCAGCGTTCGGAGCGCTTAACAGAGGCGAAGTCAGAGGGAGGGAGGAAAGCCTTCAGTCGTGATGTAAAAGAGGGGAACAACAACAACAACAACAAAATTACATTTATAGAACGCCTTTCACGTCGGGAGGACGTCCCAAAGCGCTGAACAGACAGGTGTCGGGGCCCAAGCATGGGGGAAGGGTGGCGTAGGGGTGAGGGAAGGCAGAGAAGTGGGAGGGAAACCAAAGGCACGGTCGAAGAGAAGGGCTATGAAGCAGGCAAGGGGGGAAGCGAGGCGAAGGGACCGTGGGATTGAGTTCCAGAGAGTGGGAACAGAATGGTTGAAAGCTTATCCGCCGAAGGTGGGATGGGTAGGTCAGGTAGGGAACGTGAAGCAGGTCGCTGTTTGCTGAACGAAGGAAAAGGCTGGTTCTGTTTTACAGTAGAATTGTATTGTATTCCTCTGATGCAGGACGGAAACTCCTCTCTGCTTGTGTGACACAAGTGCTGTCCAGAGCATCCTGTGTTATTTCTCTTCTCAAGTGTGTGGCTCTCAGATGCCATAACACTTCAGTGATATATAGCGCAGTCCTTCACGAGTCTATTTTTTGAGACGGGAGGATGGGGGCAGAGTGAATTTTTGCGGTCTTCAACAAGTGAGGCTGGCCTGTGCTGGAGCTCAGAACATTATCCCACCTTTGCTATTATTATTATTTTTATTATTAGTTGATGATATTCCAAGTCTGGTTCCAACGCAGAACAGAAGTAAGCTAAATCTACCCTCGCCACGCCTCTTCACTTGAAATTCAGAAGTGTCCTCACAGTGCAACTCAATAACAAATTTCTCCACTCTCTATTCCCGCTATCAAGCCTTTCGTATTCTGAACAAATCAGGCTACGTGGAGTGAGGCAGCACAGAAACAGACCAGTTGGATCAACTTGTCCTTGATTGTATTGATACTCTAGACAATCCCCCGCTCCCCACTCCAATTCCCCCTTCCTTTATCCCTGGTAGCTGTGCGAGTTGCCACCGTGCCCCTAGTCTTGTTCCTCTCCTCCCCCACCCCACCAAACTCCTATTCTCTCAGCAGAAGATAGTTCGAGAGCAATTCAAATGGGCTTTGCAGAGGATTGGATGGACCTGAATAGCTGATGAGAGTATTTTCTTTGTAGGGAAGTGCTATTTTGCCTCTAATGGAACTCATTTGAATCTCACAAAAGTGTTGCACAGATCGTCTTGAAGAGTTAATGGGCCATGCAATGCAGCGAGTGTATCGAGGCGAGAGAGTGTTTATAAACTATTTACACACTTGCCGGAGATTGACCTTTCCTCTCCCTTCCTACCCAGGAACCTATGTCATGACTGTAACTTCTGTTGACGCTGATGATCCTCATTCGTCCAACGGCATATTGCGATACAAGATCCTCTCCCAGACACCAAGCAGCCCGTCCTCAAACATGTTCACCATCAATAATGAGACCGGAGCTATCGTCACAGTGGCAGCCGGGCTAGACAGAGAGGTATTGTATCTGTTGATATCTATTGAACATAAATTCCTTCAAAATAAATGAAAAGAATTTGGTCACTTCAATGTATGACTGTTTGTGGGACACCGCTGTGCGCAATTGGCTGCCGTGTCTCACCCACAAAATATACATTTTACAGTATATTCTGTGAAGCGCTTTGAGATGTCTCAAAGACATGAAAAGGCGCTATATGAAATGCAAGGATTATTATTAAAAAAAGGGCTGCAGAATATTAAATGAAGCCATTGAGGTGCGTTGCAGAAATACAGTAACATTTATACTTATAAGGCAGCACCTTTCAAGTCAGGAGGACGTCCCAAAGCGCTGGACAATTCTGGCTCGGCACCAGAGTTGGGAGGATAACCGGAAGTGCGGTCAACATAGGAATATAGGAAATGCTGGATGAAAAAAGACCCAAGGCCCATTCAGTTTGCCTTCCACTATTCTGCTGGTCGGGTGCATGTGTCATATCCTGAGCTACTCATAATGTATCCCAAAAAGAGGTACCTTTTGAGTCATGCAGTAAAAGAAGGATCTAAACATGTACATATGATAAATTTATATATCATATATATAAATTTAAGCATTGTTAGCGATCAGGGATGTTTGAAAGAAAATAAGCCTTGAAAATGATTGACTTCTTATGTTGCTTTTTAAGAAAAAAAGGATACCGTTAGCTCTCGTTAACCCTGCAAGCCAAAGCTCTTAACGGGTAGAGTTGTCTAGCTAGACGAGCATCGGGAAAGCTTGATAGACCGTGCTCTGAATGGCAAGCTGTGTGGTTTTAGCTGGTTAGACTCCCAGCAGTTACCCCAATGCACATTCTGTGGTCCCCAAGCCTTGGCTCTTGCTAACCTGTGCCTAATACGTTACCGAATTAGGTAAGCAGGATGCATCCCTCCAGGGAGAGAGAGTGCATTCCATTCCAACAATCTATCTCTTGAATTACCATGTGTAGGTGGGGTGTAATGTTTGGACATAATTTTTGTTTTGTTTGGATACACTTATGTATGCTGATGGATTCCTGCATGTGTAAGACACCCAGCTGACCCCCCCCCCCCCACCCAAAAAAAATGATACGCCAACTGGGAAGAGATGCATAAACCGTGAAGCGTGTAGACAGTTAATTCTCTTGACAGCAATTGGGGCACAGGTGGTAATTGGGGAGTATGGAAAATCCTGGCAAAATTGCATTTCGACGTGTAATTTTGGCTGGTCAGACCTTTTTAATTGTCCCAATAGGGATATCTGTGTCATCATTGCAAAAACAAACCTTCCAGCCAAAGAGGGAGGGATCAGTTTATAGGTAACGGTTAATGCTTGGCAACAGGACGATGTTCTTTGATAACGGTACCCAAGGGATCCCGTGCTTGTGAGAGGACTGGCTTTCTCTGCCGACAGAATCTGCGGTGTCATTGATCTGCCCATTACCTAGCAACCTGCACCTTAATGGTCTCTCTGGAGTGGAATCACAGCTGTTAGACGTAAACCCTTCTCTTCTTCCCCCCCCCATTCCCTCAAGGCTTCAGGTCAAATCGATAGCAGCCTCCTGTGCTACCGATACTAACTGTGCCTACTCATTGATTTCACTGGCCGCACTGTGTGTGTTATACAGAATAAGCAGACAAAGGATGAAACTTTACTCTGCTCTAAATGGAGAAAAGCTATTAACGCTGGTTTGGAGAGGGCGGTAAACAGTGAAGGGAGTGTTTGGATCCTTTGTATTTGTCATGCATTCCATTTAGGGAAAGTAGTCTCAAATTTCTATTTGTTCAGCCCTTTGATGTGCGTTTTGATTCCCGTGCGCAGTACGTTTTCTTATAGAAGAGGAATTACTGGCGACAATGTGGACATTTTGCGAGACTGCTGTCGCTGCGCGGGTGTAAAGTGCGATCGGGTCTTGAGAACATCTCGGAATTTTATCCCTGCTTCCTTCCGCTTGATGCCCCATGGCAATTCTTCCTTCAGTAATCTGCGTTTTAATTGAGTTGCCTTGTAATGAAACCTGGCATTAGGTGATAGTTTAACACAGGGTATTTATTTACTGGTAAGTCTGAGGTTGGAGGAGGGGTGGGGGGTGTGATTGTTTGGAATATGAAAATTTTCGATGTGTGATGGTGTGGTTCACACTCCTTTTTTTTCTCTCCCTTCCCCGTACAAACACGAGCATGCACACAAATACACACAATAGACCCACTTCCATTTTGAAATGCTCCTGGGATCTGAGTTGACAGCAAACACTTCAGAAGCTCGCATCAAAAACTTAAAATCTCTAGAACAATTGAATCCCTACTCTTGACAGCGTAATTCCTTACAGAACCATAGAAATTTACAGCTGAGAAGAAGACCAATTCAGCCCATCGTGTCTGCATTGGCTCTTTTAAAAAGCAATCGTTTCAAGTCCCCTTAACCTGTCCCTTTCCCCATATCCTGTAATTTATTTCTTTTTAGCCAACTTTCCAGATCCCCTTTGAAAGCTCGTATAGATATTGCCTCAACCATCGCTCCTAGCAGAGCATTCCATATCCTTATTGCATTCCATATCCTAAATGACAGCATACGCTTCATAAACTGCAGCACTGAAACTTAAATTTTTCCATGAATTGAATTAATTGTAGGGAGCCTGAGCTTTGAGTCCTTAATTGGGATGCCTTTGTGATGGATATGAGCTCCAAGACATGACAATCTCTAGCGGTGGATTATACAGCACTATACAAATGTACATTTATATAGGACGTTACAAAGCATTGGGGTGAGAGCCATGAGAGCGTAGAGTGGGGAAAGGATGGACGACCAGCGCAGTTACATTTAATTATGTGTTCTTTTTTGTCTTCCCTCCCTCTCCTGTTTACATAATAGAAAGTTCCACGGTACACTTTAATAATACAAGCTACCGACATGGAGGGAAGCCCAACATACGGCTTGTCTAACACTGCGACTGCTGTCATTACGGTAATAGATGTCAACGACAACCCACCAGAGTTTACCTCTGTAACAGTAAGTATTGTGTTGATATTGTTTTGGGAGTATTTGAGGCTTTTTTTTAAATTAAAAAAGGCTTTAGTTTTATCCCACTCAGCTTCTGTTAACCCTGCAAGCCAAAGCCCTAACGAGCAGGGTAACTAGCTGGATAAGCAGTGGGAAAGTTTGGCAGACACGGATATCTTTCCACTGCCACCGCCCCAAACTGCAGCGGGGAAGGTAAGAGCTTCCACACCGGTGCCACTTTGCTCTTTATCGTTTCATGCCGAGAGTTATATTTAGGTGTGTGCAAAAGATGTTGTCCTGCATATATTGGGATCCAACAGTGTGATCCCACAATCTCTGTGATAAGTGACATTTCACATTGGCTGGCAGCATTCTGCACCACGCAGTTGTCAACCAGATGGTTCAGTAAAGATTACACGTCAGCCATCAGTTGCAGCATTGAGCTCCTCTTCCCGTCTCTCCCTCCTCAGCCCCCCCCCCCCACCACCAATGGTTCTGCGCGTAAAGCAACTGCCTAGAGAGAAACCAAGTGTTGTAGGTCAGGTGAGCAAGGTCTAGGTCTCAAATCAAATCCCTGGTCCGCTGTGAGTTCGTTGACATCGGTCGGGTTGCTGCTTCTGTTGTAAATGGCCTAAGCCCTTCCTAAGAGCTAGGGAAGGGGACAAAGAACTACAACAACAACAAGATTCCATTTATTGAGCGCCTTTCACATCGGGAGGACGTCTCAAGGCGCTGTGCAGTTGGGTCAGGACCCGAGCAGGGGGGAAATGGTCAGGGTGAGGGGAGGGAAGGGAGGGAGCGAGGAGGGGGTAGAGAGTCGAGAGGGGAGCTGAAGGCACGGTCAAAGAGAAAGGTCTTGAGACTGGCCTTGAAGGAGGAAAGGGAGGAGGGGGCGAAGGCACTGGGGGATAGAGTTCCAGAGACTAGGGGCTGAGAGGCTGAAGGCCCGGCCACCGATGGTAGGGCGGTTAGGGCGGGGGATGTGGAGCAGACCGGAGCCAGAGGAACGGAGGGTATGGGCAGGTAGGTAGAGGGATAGTAGGTCGGAGAGGTAGGAGGGAGCAAGGCCGTGAATGGCCTTGTAGGTGAGGATGAGGATCTTGAATTCTTGAACTACCTACCACATTGAAGAGTTATTAACAATTTAGTTCAGGTATGAGCTGGGCAGGTCGGCATCTGTTGAACTCTATCCTACTCTCCCTCACTGCCCCCCCCCCACCCCTCCTGGGCAAAAATAGGTCAATGTTGTGAGGTGGCAGTGAAAGCAACCTATACAGGAATGATGTAGTCTAATATAGAATTATACAGCACAGAAGGGGGCCATTCGGCCCATCGTGTCTGTGCCGGTTCTTTGAAAGAGCTATCCAATTCAATCCCACTCTCCCGCACTCTCCCCATAGCCCTGTAAGTTTGTCCTCCCAAATAATTATCCACTTCTCTCTTAAATGTTGTTATCAAATTGGCTTCCACAACCCTTTCAGGCAATGCATTCCAGATCCGTACAACTCGCTGTGTGAAAACATTTCTCCTCACCTCCCCTCTGTTTCTTTTAAAACTACTTTAAATCTGTGTCCTGGGGTTACTGACCCACCCACCAGTGGAAACAGTTTCTCCCTGTTCACCCGATCGAATCCCCTCATAATTTTGAGCACCTCTATTAGTGCTTTAAAAGAAAATCTTGTTCAAAGTGAATGTACGGTTGTGGACAATTTACAATATTGGGTCGGTGTAGTAGGCAGAATTCAGGGCAGTAACCGACATGGATGTATATGCTTGCAAACCTCAATGTTGCTTTACAATGTTTAGTTGTTGGAGACTTTCATGTTATTTCTGTAGATTTACCTTAAGGTTGGTATTCACTGTGTGAAGTAAACATCAAACTGGGTTATTCATTTAAAAAAACACACTGCTGTCAGTACAAAACAAAACTTGCGTTTGCTGTGTGATGAAGTGCAGAGCTTAAACCAATTCTCATATATGTATGCGTGGGTGTTTTTTCCCTTTGCAGTTCTATGGAGAAGTCCCAGAAAATAGGATCAATATTGTTCTGGCAAACCTGACAGTGACTGATAAGGATCATCCCCACAGTCGAGCTTGGAATGCGGTCTATAAAATTACTGGTGGGGATCCTACTGGTCGTTTTGGCGTGCCCACTGATCCCGTTAGCAATGATGGTCTGGTGACGGTTGTCAAGGTATGTGTTCTGCTCACTTTTCCCAATTCAGCTTCAAAGTAAATGCCTGCTCCTTCTGGGCGCACTGTGCGTGAAACCCATTAGCTGACATTTCTTCAAAATAAATGCAATCTTTTTTACCTCCCCCCCCCCATTCACGTGCTACATTTTAACAAACTGTGCATTTCACTGGGAGCAGGGATTCTTCCCACTCAGCTTCTGTTAACCCTACAAGCCAAAGCCTTAATATGTAGAAATATTAATAATAATCGTGTATTTGATATAGCGCCTCATCACAGTCTTTGAGACGTCTCAAGGCACTTCACAGAATGTACTGTAAAATGAATTTGTGGGCGACATGTGGGGTGGTCCTAGCTGGACAAGCAGCAGGCTTGCCAAGCAGTGCTTTTAATGGCAAGCTATGCAGTTTTAGCTGGTTAAACTCCTGGAGTTGCTCCAATGCACACTCTGGTCCCTGAACCTGTGCCTGATAATCTCTGGAATTAGATAAGCAGGGCGTATCTCTTCATTGGAGAGAGAGAGAGACACAGAGTGCTCATTCCATTCTAATATACAGGAATTTCCATGTGTCAGTGGGACACATGGAACTCCGTCTGGTTTAGATTCTGCTCTTAAGCATGTTGATGGGTTTCCACACGTGTCAGACACCTGGCTGATCAAAAAAAATACATTCATGTATAAATGCAGCTGTATTGATATAAAATCAACCTTTACAAGGACTACTCCACCCATAACTGGTCTGCCCTTCTGTGGATGAGTCGATAGTCGTTCGCCCACAAATATACAGTCAATTCACTTTACAGTGTGTTCTGTGAAGCACTTTGGGACGTCCTCCCGACGTGAAAAGCGCTATATCAAATGCAAGGTTTATTATTATTATTATTATTATTAGAACCTCTATCCATTCTAGGTCACTCCACCTTGATTTCACTGCTGGCTGCTTGTAATTTTCGAAGTGAGTCCTAGAACTTAGGACGTAGGAATTAGTACACAAAAAAAATACTTAAGGTCCATCCATTTCGCCTTTGTGGTAGTCGCTTGTTGCAATAATGTAGATGTGGATAGCTTGCGAGGTATGTGAATATCATTTGTTCCATAATTATGGTAAGCTTTGTAATCTTGCTCATAAGTATTCACTTCACGTGGCTATTGGGATAATTAGTGAACATAATGGCTCCAGATGGCACATCAAGCTGTGGAGCCCGGTACGTTTTACTGATACACGGTGATCATTAACTGCTAACGGGACAGTATGCTTTGCATCAAGCTTTCATTTTCCTTCAATATAAAACACATTTGCTGACGTTTCTTCAAAATACATTCTCATTTCTTCAAAATCGAGCTCGTTCAAAACTCTGCCGCCCGCATACTGACCCGGACCAAACTCCGCACCCTCATCTCCCCGGTTCTGGCCAGGCTCCACTGGCTCCCCATCACTGAACGGATCGACTTCAAGATCCTCACACTCGTGTTCAAATCCCTTCACTCTCTGGCACCTCCCTACCTCTCCGACCTCCTCACTCCCCAAACCACCACCCGACGCCTCCGCTCTACTGGCACCGGCCTCCTGCTCATCCCTCGCACCCTCCGCACCACAATTGGAAGTCGCGGTTTCAGCCACTGAGCCCCAAAACTGTGGAACACTCTCCCTCAATCCCTCCGCCTTGTACCCCCACCCACCCCCTCTTTCACATTCTGAAAACCTTTTTGACCAGCTACTGTTGAGCGCTCTGAGACGCTACCCTGCGTGGAGGGCGCTATATACGTGCAAGTTGTTGTATTTCAAGAGTTACTTAACATATGAATAAAATCCTTGTACAAGGTCCATAGCACCTTTCACGTCAGAAGGTTGGTCACAGGATGTGCTGAAACCAACCACTTGCTCCCTCGACCCCATCCCTGCCCCTGTCCTTACATCCCAGCTCCATCTCCTTGCCCCTCTACTCACAGACATCATAAATCTCTCCCTGTCCACTGGCACCATCCTACCTCTTTAAAAATGTCTGTCATCACTCCTATCCTTAAAAAAACTCTCCCTGGACCCTGCTCTCAAACTACTGCCCCATCTCCAACCTCCCTTTCCTTTCCAAGGTCCTGGAATGAGTCGTTGCTTCCCAGCTTCACTCCTTCCTCTCCCACCACTCCCTTCATGAATCCCTCCAAAAGGGGTTTCTGTGTCGCCCACCCTAATCCTAATGACAAAGTGACAAATGACATTTTGTCCTATCTGTGACCAGGGCTCCGTCTGCCTCCTCGTCTTCCTTGACCTTTCTGCTGTCTGCGATACCGTCAACTACTCTATCCTCATCCACCGCCTCCCCTTTCACCTCAATCTTCATGGTTCTGTCTTTGACTGGTTCAGATCGTACCTCTCACACCACCTCCACTTCATCTCCACAAACGGTTTGTCCTCTAGCCCCCGCACCGTCTTGGTCCCCACTTTCAAAGCCCTTTGTGGCCTTGCTCCCCCTACCTCTTCGACCTCCTAACCCCCTGTCAACCTGCCCACTTCCTCTGCTCAGCAGACGCCAGCCTACTTCGCATCCCCTGCGGGCAGTTCTTCAGCCACTCTGCCCCCATCATCTGGAACTCCATCCTGCAGTCCCTCCGCCTCATCAACTCCCTTGCTTCCTTCAAGACCCATCTCAAGACCCTCCTCTTCGACCGTGCCCTCAGTCATCCTCCTTCCCCCCTTGCCCTCCACTCTCCCCGATCCCAACCCCTAGGTCGAGTCCGAAACACTGACTGTCCAGCGCTTTGGGACGTCCTCCCGACTTGAAAGGTGTTATACAAATGTAATTTTGTTGTTGTTGTTGCTGTAAAGTGTAGTGACTGTTTATTTATAGGCGAGCACCGCAGTCAGCTTGTGCAGAGCAATGTCCCACAAACAGCCAGTGACAGACCAATCTTATTTGGGGAATTGTTGACCAGGGCCCTGGAAGAAACCTCCTTTTCTTTTTCAATAGTCCCATGGGATCTTTATTGTCCGCCTCCAACAATGTACCCCCTCCTCTTACCCCCCCCCCCCCCACCACCACCACCACCACCACCCTGCAGCAGCAGCACTAAACTATATGGGTTCCATGTCCCAACATGGGGATTGAACCCGCAACCTTCTAATTCTGACCTAAAGAGAGAGTCTGCTACTAACCGAACCAGGCTGAAGCATCTGATCCAGATAATGAGTTCATGCCTAGTATTGGAAGAGAATCTCTACAGCAGTAAAAGCCTTGAGCTTTCAGAATTTACATTTATGTGCAGAATTTATTGAGGTCCTGATTGAAATCCTTTTTATTAAGAATTTATTGTTTGGAGGAGAGGGAGATCATAAAGCTCCTGCTTTCCCTTCAGAAGCTCTCTGCTTAATGTACCTCTGCGCCTATGGTCACCTCCTTTGCCTCTTCTACCCCCCACTCAACCCCAACTCCCTCTCTTCCCTCCTCCCCCCACTACCGCCTGTATTGCCATTTATAAAGCACTTAGAGACATTGTTCTCCTTGAAGAGCACTGTATAAATTCAAATTGTTTTTGTTCTGTTGAATCCCATTCATTAAAACATTAATGGCCAACAATCATCCAGATAAAATTGGTCCTTCATTCCATAGCTCTTTGTAGGACATTGCTGTATGCAAAGTGGCTACTGTATTTGACATCGAAACACAGTCACTCACTTCACAGTGTAATCCTGTGAATCACTCTAAGACATCTCAACAGTGGGATAAGTAGTGACCTCAAATGCAACAAGTATTATTGTTATAAGGATAATAGTGCAACCTGGTATTAATTTGCTTGCAAGCAGTTATTAAAACCCCAACTAAAATCTGCGTAAAGTTGAGAGGAGGGGGAAAGGACCTGACCCTGTAAGATTAAATTCCCACTTCCCGGTGGCTAAATTTGTAGCAATAATAGTAATCCTTGCATTTGGTATCGCGCCTTATCACGTTGTCGATGCCTCAGAATTTTTCACAGGACATACTGTAAAGTTATCCGATTGTGTGCGTGTCTGGGGGGGGTTTGGCTGTGGATTTAAAAAGCGTTTTACTGCAAATGCAGGTTTGAAATTTACAGGGGATGAATTCTGCAGTTGTTACACAACCAGGACATTACAAAAGTATGTTGTTGACGGGGATCATGTAGGATTAGGGATGCTATGCTGATAAAGAGCAAGCCAAAGGTCACAGTCAATTTAAAAAAGTACCCATTAAGTGTTGGATGCTGTGCTTAATGCATGGATATTTTGATGCTGACATGCAAAGAAGGAGATGATTTGAACAGCCACATTATGGATCATTTTTATCCTCGGGCGTTTTAATTTTGAATGCTGCTTATTTTGTTTTTCAATACTTCACCTAAACATCTATGTTTAGAGATGCAAAGGGCAACTTCAGGACAGACTTCAGGAAGGTTTTCTCATTACGCAGAGGAGGAGGATGACTTTAACGACTGCCGATTTAAACAAAACGCAGCAGCCAATTTGCACACAGCTGTGCCCACAAGCAGTCGTGGATTGAGTGACTAATTTATTTTATTTTTTTGAGGGATTACTTCCCCCGGAAAGCCATCTACCAATCGACTTAACAACCTGGTTCCTACTTACTGCTGGGTATGTGGCATGTGGAGTAAGAAAAGTTGCCTAAGGTTTTGCTCTGCTCAGGAATCCAACCCGAGTCCTCTCGCTTGTGAGGCGAGCGCTAACCACTATGCTACAGGATTCCAAGTGAGAGACCTGAGTTCAATTCCAGACAGGGCGAAACCTTGGGCAAGTTTCCTTACTCCACACAGAGCCTAATAATAATCCCTCCAAAAAAACAAAAACAATAATTAAATTGGTCATTTTCAATCTACGACTGTTTGTGGGACGTCCTCCCGACGTGAAAAGTGCTATATCAAATGCAAGGATTATTATTATTTTATTATTCCATGAGGCGCGTAGCGTATATCTTGTATGTATATGTGTGGAAAAGAATGTATACTAAAGAATCTTTGTTCTTTCCCTCCCTCGCAGCCTATTGATTATGAAATGAACAGGGCCTTTGTGCTGACGGTGATTGCAGAAAACCAGGTTCCTCTGACGACGGGTATTCAGCTTCCTCCTCAGTCAACAGCCACAGTCTCCATCACGGTCATTGATGTGAATGAGAGCCCGTATTTTATACCAAACCCTAAACTCATCAGACAGGAAGAGGGGCTTCCCGCAGACAAACAGTTAACAGTGTTCACGGCTCAGGATCCGGATCGTTACATGCACCAGACTCTAAGGTACAGTTTTTATTCCTCGTCCAAACACTGGTGACCAGGTCTCCATCCGATGTGTGGCTGGAATCCTGTTAATATTTTATAGCTTCTGCAACCCTATTGACCCCATTGCTTTCTTCACTCGCCTGATTTATGTCCCTAACCTCTCTACGCCATGATCAGCAGGCGAGCTTTGAGTCATTCTGCCTTTCAGTACCCTGGGGCGTCCTTCCGACGTCAAAGACACTCTACAAATGTAATTTTGTTGTTGTTGTTTCACCCCAAAAATATACAGTCAGTGTATTCTGTGAAACACTTTCAGTCTCCTCAACAACATGATAAGGCGCTAAATCAAATGCAAGGATTATTATGTTATATTTAATTTTGCTCTGCTTCTTCCCTGCTACATTTCTCCCTCTACCCGACCTGCCCCATCTTGAGAGAGGGAGTCAGCCTGGTTTAGTCGTAGCACTCTCTCTCACCTCTTGAGTCAAGTAGGTTCAAGGGCCTTGTTGGGATTTGGACTCATATAATCTTGGCTGACACTCCAATGCAGTGCTGTGGGGTGCATTGCCAGAGATGCTGTCTTTCAGATGAGATATTAAATCGAGGTCCAGTCTGTCTGTTCAGGTGGACGTTAAAAAATCCATGACGCTATTTGAAACGAGAAGGGAGTTTCTCTCAGCCAATGTCCTGGCCAGCAGTAAAATTGGTCATTCATTCACTTTGTGGCTGTTTGTGGGAGGGACGCTGCTGTGTGAAAATTGGCTACCACATTCGTTCACAAAAAGCACAGTAAATGAGCTTCATAGTAAGTACTCCTGAAGTGAAAGGCGCAATATCAAACGCAAAGATTACCATTTTAAACCTCTTTGGGTTACGTAATGGCAGTGCAATGTGCCTGTATTGTGACCATCATTCTGTAAAATTCCCCTATGGAAGCTGCCATTGGAATTTATTCCCTTCCAAAAAAAATGCTTAAAATCTTCCCATTTTAATTGTAGGAATTATGGCCCAAGGGCTATTTGGGATTTCAGTGTGAATGTGAAACCATTTCTCCTTCTACCTCTGCTCTCTCCCGCCCCCACCCCACACGTAAATCTGATTGAATATAAACTACAGGGAATAAATGGCTTCCTGCATATTTATAAACCTCTGCGATCGACGCAGAGTGTGGGTGAAGGAGGCCCTCGAGGGATTGAAAGGCACAGTGTGTGGGCGTGGAAGCTGGAAGTGCAATTTCAGCACTGTCTGGAAGAAGAGGGCCGTTTACCCACAGAGCACACCAGTTACAGTGAAATCCTGTGAAGGCACTTCACAACGTCTCGACGGAGTGATAAGGAGCTGCACCGAATGCGAGGATTATTTAAATGATCCTAATCCTAATAATAATCCTTGCATCTGATATAGTGGCTTATAACGTCTTCGAGACGTCTCAAAGCACTTCACAGAATACACTGTAAAGTGAATTGACACTATATTTTGTGGGTGAAACGCGGCAGCCAATTGCGCCCAACAGTCTCCCACAAATTGTCATGGATGGAGTGACTAAATACTTGCGGAGAGCACAGGTAATGGTCATAATGATACCATCACCCTCACTCTGCACCATCGCTAGCTGTGCCTTCAGCCACTAATCCCCCGAAACTTTGTCTCAATCCCTCCCTCTTTGTCCATCTTAGATCGCAGCTGAAGACCTTCCTCTTTGACCGGGCCTGCGGTCACCCTCCCTTCTCTTCACGCTCGGTGTCCTCTGCGGTTAAGCGCTCTGAGATGCAAATTGTCGTCATTGCTTGTGGAATCGATCCACTTTAGAGTGAACGGGCAAAAGAGTAATGTCACCTGAATTCGATTTCCTTTTTGTTACAATTTTTCAGGTATTCGAAACTCTCAGATCCTGCAAACTGGCTCAGTATCGATTCAATCCATGGCCACATCACCACGATCGCCACCCTGGACCGCGAGTCTCCCTATGTTAATAATAACATGTACAATGCCACTTTCCTGGCATCAGACAATGGTACGTGGAACGCTTTCTCTCTTTGCTCATTATTGCGGTATTCTGTGCTGTTGGGTCAAATGCCTTATTTTTTCAACATGCTCATTTGTCAACAAGGGAGTTTCTCTCCCAGTGCCCAGGCCAACTATCCTCCAATTACAGCGATTGGGGAGGGAAAACTGATGGTGTTTGTGGGTTGAAGGCAGGGAGGAGGGGAGAGGATGAATAAGGAGGAATCGGATTTTAGGAAAAAAACTGCAATAATGATTAACGTTTAATTGCGAAGACTTTGGAGACATGATTCATTGCTCACGTAAGCTGATGATTCTCTCCTCCGCTCACGAGCTGTGGTTCAGATTCAAAAGCTGGAGATCAATTCTCCTTGTTCTCCGGTGCCACACGAGCGAATTTGGGTTGAGAGAAAGGGTTTGACGTTGCAATGTATTCCTTTACAGATTGGTTGCAGTGCAGCTGGAGTCAGTGTGAGTGAGCAATGAGCTGTTGTGTGGTGTGAGCTTCAAATTTTTGATGCTTTGAACAAACGCCTTAAAAATAAATTCTCTTTTGGCGAATTAGAATGTGACAGCTTTGTGAAACGCTAGAAGATTGCCTATGGGTTTAGGAACATAGGAACAGGAAGCAGACCTTTCAGCCCCTCGAGCCTGTCCCGCCATTCTGTTAGATCATGGCTGATCTCCAAATACCCGTCTTTGCTCCATATCCCTTTAGACCCTGACCTAACAAAAATCTAACCACCTCAGTCTTGAAAATATGGATAGATCCAGCATCCACAGCCTTTTGGGGGGAGAGAATTCAAGATTTCCACTGCCCTTTGCATGAAAAAATGCTTCCTGTTTTCCTCATTTCACTCCTAAATGACCTAGCTCTTAATTTAAAGATTATGGCCTCTTCTTCTGGATTAGAGGAAATACAAGCAGAGGGAGTGCCAATCTAATCTTGTTTTATTTGAAAACTCTGTCCTATGGTTTGTGTGTGCAGTTCTTAACTGGGGTGGGTGGGGGGTGGAGGGTATTTAAGGCTGTTCTAGCCTAAATGTTTTTCTTTGTTTAAGTAAAAATTTTTTAAAAATTGTATTATATCCATTACCGTTTGGTGTGTGCTTTAACCCATTCACTGACTTGCCGAGGTCTGGAAAAAACAGCGTTGGAGACTGTGATGGTGTGTAGGGTATAGGTAAAATGTGCTTTTTGTAAGAAGCACTTTAATTACGTTAGAAAGAGAGAGAAATTCATTTTTGTCTCGCCCAATGCAAAGCATCGACCTCCTCCCCCTAACCAATGTCGTAAGTCTGTGTCATTGTGAAGGGAAGCTACGATACCGTTTACTCATTCCTATCTTTGTGCAGGTATCCCTCCTGCAAGTGGAACAGGCACACTGCAGATCTACCTGCTGGACATCAATGACAATGCCCCAGTGGTATCCCCTCAAGAGGCTTCGATCTGTGAGAGGCCATATCCTAGTGTCATCAACATCACGGCTGTAGATGAAGACATTGATCCAAATGCTGGGCCCTTCGCCTTTGAGTTACCCAACAGACCAGTACACGTGAAGAAGAACTGGACCATAACTCGCCTGAGCGGTAAGAAAGCCAGGGCATACCTTCAAAGCCTAAATAATGTTGGGGAACATTTCTCTCAGCACTGGGTCAGAAGGGTTGTGGATTCAAGCCCCTCCCCCCCATAGGACCTTAAAGTCTCAGTCTGGGTTGACACCCCATCTCAGTGCTGCATTGTCAGAGGTGCCACCCTTCTGATGAGAAGTTAAACCGAGGTCCCGACTGCCTGCTCAGGAAGACGTTAAAGATCCCATGGCAATGCTCAAAAAGAAAAGGGAGTTTCTCCCAGTGTTCTGTCCAACAACGCTCCAGAAAATAATTGTTCAGTCACTTCATGGCTGCTTGTGGGACTTGACTGCATGTAAATTGGCTGCCACATTCAGCTACAAAATACACAGTCATAACACTTCACAGTATAACCTGTTAAGTGTTTTGACAGCTTCTCCTGATGCGAAAAACGCTATACTAAATGCACGGATTATAACAACAGTCCTATGAATGTTAAAACTTCAATTAATGCACTAATTCATTTGTGTTTATTGTGTGTGTTTTTTTAATTAGGAGATTATGCACAGCTGAACCTCAAAATCGGGATTGACAACGGTATCTATGAGATTCCTATAATAATCACCGACTCTGGAAATCCTCCCATGTCAAACACCTCTGTTCTTCTGGTGAAGGTTTGTCCTTGTGATGAAAATGGGGACTGCACTTCCATTGAAGCTATAGTTGCTGCTGGATTAGGAACAGGAGCCATTATTGCCATCCTCCTCTGCTTCATCATCTTACTAAGTAAGTACCTGGAACTGTTCCTTTACAGTCGGTGTTTGACATTGGGTTAGGTCAGCCCGGCTCAGTTGTTAGAGTTCGAGTTAGAAGGTTGAGGGTTCAAGCCCCACGTCGGGACTTTGAACTCGCAGAGTTTAGGCTGAAACTTCAATGTATTCCTGGAGGGTGATATTAAAGATCTATCTGAAAAGGGAAGTGAGTTTCTCCCGGTGTCCTGGCCAAAAGTCCTTCAGATTAAATTGGTTGTTCACTTCGTGGCTGTTTGTGGGACGTTGCTGTGCGTAAATTTGCTGCCGCGTTCGACCCCAAATATACAGTCACTGTATTCTGTGTGTCAAAGAGAAGGGTTTTGAGACCTGCCTTGAAGGAGGGAAGGGAGTGAGGCGAAGCGACTGTGGGATGGAGTTACAAAGGGTGGGGGCAGAGAGACTGAAGGCCCAGCCGCCAATGGTGGGGCGGGCCAGGCAGGGGCCATGGAGCACATCATTGAGACTATCAAAGCAAATAGTCCAGGTTTGAATACCATCTCTCAGCAGCGCTGTTTTACATTGGCTGTTCCCCACCTCTTGCAGTCCTGGTTTTGCTCTTTGTTATCTGGATGAAGCGACGAGACAAAGAACGACAAGCGAAGCAGCTGTTGATCGATCCCGAGGATGACGTGAGGGATAACATACTGAAGTACGATGAGGAAGGAGGCGGAGAAGAGGATCAGGTGAGATGAAACGCGCCAAAGCACATTTGGCTTATCTAGTGCACTGCCAAACTCTCTGAGACGCTGCAACGCGTGAAGGGCAAATGCCAGTTTTTCTTGTTGTTGTGGCCTATTTAGTGCTGTTGCTCCACACAAAAAGTAAGTTACGCCCGTGGAGGCAAGATTGCCAAGGTTTGTGGAGTCTCCGTAGAGTATTGCTTGGCGCACTCGCCTCGCAAGCGAGAGGACCCGGGTTCAATTCCAATGCAGGATGAAACGTCAGGCAAGTTGTTTCCTTCCTCCACACGCCTGTTTACTCAGCAGTAAGTAGGAACCCAGTTGTTAATCGATTGGTGGATTGCTTTTCCGGGGTAATAATCCCTTCATAATAATAGTTTGATCACTCAACCCATGACTGTTTATAAGACGCTGCTGTGCGCAATTGGCTGCCGTATTTTGCCCACACAATGTACAGTCAATTTACTACAGTGTAATCTGTGAAGCGCCTTGAGACGTCTCGAAGACGTGTTAAGGCGTTACATCAAATGCAAGGATTATTTTTGTTATTATTATGACACTCTTGTATGTCCGCAGGACTATGACCTGAGCCAGCTCCAGCAGCCAGATGCCATGGAACCCGATGCTATAAAACCCATCGGAATCAGACGTGTTGACGAACGGCCAATCCACGCTGAGCCTCAGTATCCTGTCCGATCTGCTGCTCCTCACCCCGGCGACATCGGGGACTTCATTAATGAGGTAAAGACTGTAATCAGACCAAGGGTGCGCTTCTAAAGGTTTTTAAAAAAAAATTCTTGAGAGCTTTCAGGTGTCCTCCCAACGTGAAAAGCACCCACAAAATTTTCGCCCACAAAATATACCGTCAATTCACTTTACATTATATTCTGCGAAGCGCTTTGGGACCTCTCAACAACGTGATAAGGCGCTATTATCAAATACAGGGATTATTATTATTATAAGTGCCGCATCAATGCAAATTCTGGTGCATGTGCATATACGTGCAGGTAATAGATTGAGAAAGGACAGGACTGCTTTTGTCCTTCCCTTCTCTCTCTCCTATTCCCTCCCCCGACCATCACCCTGTCATTTTACCCGCTACACCTCACCCTTGGTGCCCAAGTAGAAAAAGGAAAAAAAAGTCAAAACCTCCTTCAAGAGAGAAGACGACTCGACAAAATGCTTAACCTTTTTTTTAAGAGTTGGCCAAGTTAATGAAATCAGAGCGGAGAGAGATTCTTTAAGGACAAGCAAGTTGAATAGCTTATAAAAATCTAGGTATTGGTGTTGCACACAAAGTCTGTGGTGGGAAAGGGCTAATACGTAGGGCTAATATAATTACGCAGCTTCGCCCTGAGATCGTTTTGTGAAATGTAAAGCGTTTATTGGCATTGCTAATTAAAAATCAGTCTTGTATCCTGAGAATAGTTGAGGGTGCACTGAGATTAATGGTATGTTTGGGGGAGCGGGAGAATGTGGAGGGGGTGGAGCAGTGGTGCAGAAGGGGGAGAGGAAGGAGTGAGAGCAGGACAAAGGTACTTCAAAATATAATGTCATTTTATCAGGTGAGATTAATTTATAAAAAAATCCATTACCCAGCAAATCAGAATTGTATGGCTTAAATGGAGCTGAATAGCAGCCCTGCAATCCCATTACCATGGGCCAGTTGAAACGAGATTTTTTTTTAAATAGTCTGAAAATTGTAAATTGATACATCTGCTCCATCCTTTCAGTCTAATTAATTTAATACCGCATAAATCATTGGTCTAACCCACAGCCTCTCTGAAGGAAGAGAGTCGTGAGGTTTCTGTCTTTGATGGTGGCAAACAAGAGGAGGGGGGAGAGTTAATATCTTAATAAACGGAATTAATTCTGCAGTTTCGTGGGAATAATTGGGGAATGAATGAATACCAGATTTTCAGAGCTGTGTTATTGCAATGAAGAAATGTTCGAGCCTTTAATATCTTTTCAAGCCTTGTCGTATTGAATCAACCCATGAATGTAGCAATAATCATAATCCTTGCGATTGATATAGCTTGTTAGTGCATTGTCGACACGTCTCGAAAAGCGCTTTGTAGGATTTTCCCGTGAAGTGCAGTGACTTGTGTATTTTGTGGGCGAATGTGGCAGCGAATTTGCGCACAGAAGTGTCCCGCGGATAGCACGGAAATGAATGACCGATCTTATGTGAGAGGATTGTTGGCCAGGTTTTGGGGGGGTGGGGGGTGTGGGGTTCTATCCATGCAAGCTCTTCTGTACACATGCCGTTGCTACCTCGTTGACCTCGCTTACTGTCATCTCCCTCCTAACCCGAGTGCGGGTGCCAAGCCATTGTTTGAATTATTTAAGCGTTCTGTACACAGAATACACAGCCAATTTCCTTTGCAGTATGTTCCAGCGCCTTTGAATGTCCTCCCGACGTGTAATTTTGTTGCTGCTGTTGTTCCGTGAAGAGCTTTTGAGCCGTCTAGAAGACGTGATAAGGCGCTATAGTCAAATGCAATTATTATTATTAAGCACCTTTGAGGGCTTGAAAAGAGGTGCTGCATACTCTAAATCGTATTGTTGTTGAAGCGGGAGAGTGAGCAGAGCATTTTCTAAACAGTATTTGATGTGTGTGTGTGCGCTTCTCCGAATCGCAGGGACTCAAGGCAGCAGACAACGACCCCACAGCACCTCCTTACGATTCGCTTCTGGTCTTCGATTACGAGGGCAGTGGGTCCACAGCGGGTTCGTTGAGCTCCCTCAACTCCTCCAGCTCCGGTGGCGACCAGGACTATGACTATCTGAACGACTGGGGGCCACGATTCAAGAAGCTAGCGGACATGTACGGAGGGGGCAGCGACTGTTAAGACATCGGACGGAACAACTCGAGTGGAATCGTTGCAGACAAAGATATAACTTCCTATAAACCGATATTCCCAGCAGCAGCGAAAAAAAAAAGCTAGGCTTTTACTTTGTAGTCAACTGGCACAAACGCTTTTGGAAGCTTCGGTCATAGGCTGCAAACTGTTTTTGGCTCGGTGGGATTATCGGTACACACTGACACTGTTTTAGAAAATTGGTTTNAAAAAAAAATGAGAGAGAGAGAGAGCTCTGTTACACTTGAATTTCAAAGTACAGAAGCACTGGGATTTTATGTGCCTTTTTGTACCACTTTTTTGATCTCCTGAATCATTAGGTTTATGTTGTATACATTACCTTAACAGTAACCCTGACAATTTGAAGCGCGAAAACTCAACAAGGCGAAACAGGGGAAGGCAAAGACCCAATGCGCGTATGGTAGGCTTACTGTGGGTCTTATTTTCCCCCAAACCCTTCTCCCCCTTCCTTTAGCTCCCCTCCCCTCTCCCCCGCTTTTAGTTTCACTGCAGCTGATGAAATAAGAGATGCTAAAAACACCAAATTTTGTTGTAAATACCCTTTTGTTAAAATGGGTGGCGGGGAGGGAAAGATGAGCGAAAACAATTTCAGCTTTGGAAACAAGAGTTTAAAAAGATGAAGCGGGCTGAAAATAAAGGGGGAAGTTGTCAAAAAAAAACCTTCCAATGCTTTTTTTGTTAATTTCTCAAATTTCGAAGCGTGCGTTTGGGGGTAGAGAATGAGGAGTGGGGGTTGGGTGGGGGGAAACATTTCATTTAAACTCATTTCAACCTTAAAATCGACAGCTGGTACTGACTTTTTAAAAACAAATACTTGCTCCCCCCACCCCCCCCGCCCACCACAAAAAAACCTTCCCTCACCCCGTCCCCCTTAAAGAAAACCTAAGCCCCCCCCCCCCATATTCTCCCCCCAAAAAGTGTACATAATTTTCAAAACAAAGAGATGAAGTTAGTCTACACCGTTCGGATGATGTGTATGTATAATTTAGGCATTGCAGGCAGTTCAAAACTTTTTTTTTTGCATGTTTTTATCTTTTCACTGTGGCGGGGGGGGAGGGAGGTGGGGGGTGGGGGGGTATAAAAAAAATTAAAAGTATTCACGGACGGACAAATGCTTTTTTTTTGGAGAAAAGTGAATGTTGACACGTTTGAAGAATTAGCTAGACAGCCAGACAATGATTTTTTTTCCTTTTTATTTTTGGTGTCATTCTTACTAGCACAAGTGTTTTACATAATTTGTACCAAAAAAAAAATAAACCCTCCCCCTGAGAGAGTTTAGGAAGCTTGCTGGTGGCACTAATTAAAGCGCAGCTTTTGAGACCGGAGAGTATTGTGGCATCAAAAAGCTTTGCCGATTTTACTGTGTACCAGGATAGAAGAGATATCACTCCTCTGGCCCCGATACGAATTAAAGGCTACTTTTTGGAATATTTTTTTTCCTGGGTTTTGAATTATTATTTTGCTTTCATTTTTAAAGTCTTGGCGTATCTCAAAATTGTCGGCTTGTGATTCCCTCAAGGTAAGATTTCCCTCCCTTTTCCCCCCTCTCCCCTCCCGAAAACGAGGAACGGTGGATTTTACAGGTCATGTCAATCATTTCAGTCTGCGTTATTAGCTCATAACTATTTGGGACACGACATGTCATGCGACTGCCAGGATGGTGGAATGCGAACTGGATGGACCTTGGTCTTCTTTCACTTAGCAAATTCTTGCGTCTAAAATGTCTGGCAACATGAACAAAGATGCCTTTCTACCTGGGAGAAGAAGCTAATATGTAGAGTATCATGCTTTAGCTAAGCTTATACGTAGTGTTTCCTTTTGATTACTGGTAATATTTGATAAGTAATCTTATTTTTCTTCCTCAATTTTAATTTTTAATAGTAATACCTGCATTTTACATTGCATCTTTTCATGCCATCCAGGCGCCTCGAAGCGCTTAACGGAATATACTGTAAAGTGTAGTGACTGTGTATTTGTCGATGACGCTTGTGGGTTCGAGCCTCACGTCAGGACTTAGAATACATTAGAATATGCAGCACAGAAACAGGCCATTCGGCCCAACTGGTCAATGCCGGTGTTTATGCTCCACATGAGCCTCTTCCTGCCCTTCCTCAACTAAACCTTCAAGCATAACCTTTTGTTCATCCTTGTGAATCTCCTTTGCGCCCTCTCCAGTGCCTCTACATCCCTTCTATAATGTGGGGACCAGAACTGCACACAGTATCCTAAGTGTGGTCTAACCAAGGTTCTATGGAAGTTTACCATCACTTCCCTGCTTTTTATTTCTATCCCTCTAGAAATGAAACTCAATGCCTGGTTTGCTTTTTTTATGGCCTTATTAACCTGCGTTGCTACTTTTAGTGAATTGTGTATGTGTACCCCTAGGTCCCTTTGCTCCTCGACCCTATTTAGGTTTTTATTTTCCAGGATGTATGTGTCTTCAAGCTCATATACTCTTAAGATCATCTTCTAATGCAGAGCTTTGGGGGGGGGGGGGGGGAGAAAGAAGAGTGAGTTTCTCCCGGTGTCCTGGCCAAGAATCCACCAGATAAAATGGGATCATTCACACCTCATGACACTGTTGTCCATAAAATTAGCTGTCACTTTCGCCTGCAAGTACAGTCACTACACTTTGAAGTAAATCCTGTGAAGCACTTTGAGACGTCCACCCAATGTAATCAGGCGCTGTGCCAAATACATGGGTTGTTTTTGTTGACTGGGACAGCAGCTTCTCTAGTTATATTCCCTGGTTGGATGCTAATGGTAATAATCCTTACATTTGGTAAGGAGTCTCCGTTGGGATAGTTAAAAAAAAAGCTCTGATCCTCACAAATCGTTTGGCTGCTGCCGCTGAGCTAAAAATATAGGACGTTGGCGGAATCTTCAACCATTTCCCCAGACGGTACGTTTACAAGCACAGACAGTATTGATGTTTTACATTGGCCTGTCCTGGTCTCCCAGCCATCTCAGGAATGATTTCATCTCCCACTGTTTTTAGCCTCTCTTGTATTGATGAGAACGAGATAACATGGCAATATTGATTTAGGTTCTCTAATGTGTAGCTTCACTAATGGGTAGGCAATCTTGTTTGGTCTGGATACTGTTTCTGCTTATGTTGTGCTGCCGTGTTTCACCCACAAAATATAGTCAGTTCACTTTACAGTAAATTCTGTTAAAGCGCTTTGAGATGTCTCGAAGACATGATAAGGCTTTATATCAAATGCAAGGATTATTGTTGTTATATGTCAAGACACACCCGGCTGACTACAAAAAAAATAGGGCCGACTGGATTTACACAGCGCTCCCAATACGCTACACTGATGGTTTCACTATAATACCGTTTGACAAGAATTTCTCAGCACTTTTAATTGTTTGCCTACAAATACAGTCAAATACAGTCATTACACTTCACAGTAACATCCTGTGAAGCGCTTCAAAGCATCTCGATGGTGTGATAAGACCCTTAACAATACTTTTTTTTTTGACACTGAAAATTATTTTTCAAAATAGCATACAACAAAAACAACTTGCATTTACTCAGCGCACTTCACACGGGATAGCATCCCACAGCGCTTAAATATCCACTCATTGTTTGATCCTGAGGATGGGAGAAACAAGATGGTTAGGATGTCTTGGCTCGTACTTTTTTTTCAATCAATCCTATATAATCCTGACTGCCTGGACATTTGCAAGAGTTATTGCACTACACACTGACTAGCGAGCAGCTTCCAGATCAGACACAGTACATTTCTACTTTTTGAAGTACAGGGAAGTAAATCAAATTTGTTGCAATTCCATGTTCAATGTACATACAGCACGTCAAGTGCTGTGCTTGGGAACTCGTAGCGATGGTGTTTCAAATAAGAGTCGGGTAATGCCAGGATAATCCTCGGAGGTGTTAAGAGAGTTATAGGATTGTCGATCTGATCGTATCCAGGTTCTTAAAGCCAAGATTAACAGCAATGCAGTGTGAGAGTCTCGCAGCACCATGTTTTATCGTGTTTTATTCTGGTTCAAACCTCTCGTAATAATAATAATCCTTGCATTTGATATAGTATTCGTTGGAATCCTGTAGCGTATTGGTTAGAGCACTCGCCTCGCAAGCGAGAGGGGCCCAGTATCGGTTCCCAGACAGTTAGGGCGAAACGTTGGGCAAGTTTCCTTACTTCACACGCCTCTGTTTTTAACTAGCAGTAAGTAGGAATCCAGTTGTTAGTCGATCGGCAGGTCACTTTTCCGGGGGTATTAATCTCTTCAAAACAAATTATAAAAAAATAATAATTTGGTCACTCGATCCACGATTGTTTGTGGGACACTGCTGTGTGCAATTGGCTGCCGCATTTCACCCACAGAATATACAGTCAATCCACTTTACAGTATGTTCTGTGAAGCGCATGAACTGGCAACATAACAAAATATTCCGCAGCCATTTAGGAGAACGTGCCATTCTGCGTTGGCCAGGCTCAAGTTGGCAGCGGTCTCGTTTCCGAGCCAGAAGATCGTGGGTTCAAGCCCCCACTCAAAACCTCAAACTCGAGTCTAGGCTGGCACTCAATACAATGTGGAAGTGACATTAAACCAAGGTCCCGTCTGCCTTTTCGGGTGGACATTAAAAGATCCCCTGCCACTATTTGAAAAGAGAAGGGAGTTTTCAGCTGACCATTCCACCCCCCCGATAAAATAGGTGTATCAAACAAAAGGGTTATTGTTGGCGGAGACCTCAACAACAAAAACAAAATTACATTTGTAAAGCACCTTTTCTCGTCAGGAAGACGTCCCAAGGCGCTGGTCAGAGAGTTATGGACTCAAGCTGGGTTTCGGGGAACGTGGAGGGCAGGGGGGGAAGCACAGAGATCGAAAGCACAGTCGAAAAGAGGACTGGGTAAGAGGAGACATTGGGTAAGAATAGGATCCCATGGGTTACAAGTTCATCGATAGTTTATGGAGTTAATCGAGAATGATTGAGAACTGGCAACAACCAGTATAAGCTAATCCCACAAGCTGGCCAGTTCATGCCAGTGCCAATTTAGAGTTCCTTATTCAGACTATTTATCCTGACAGAATACAGATTCAATTCTGAGATGAATTAACCTCTATTTGACGGTATAAACAGGATGTTGCTGATGTGTTGATTTGCTCATCTTGGCTGGATTTGAGCCCGACACTGGGGGTGAAAGGCATTGCTG